GGGTGGACATCACTTTTCTCCTAATGGTCAAAAAATCAATTCTTAAAATCACTCTCAAACAGGCTCTAAACTCTGAGTGTGGGATTGGCACAGGGAACAGTTACAATGAAGGTTGATGACCAAGCTGATACTTATGCTACTAACTTGTATTCAACTGCATTTCGTATTAAAGTACAATAAAATACTTTTGAATTGGACTAAGAAGTCGAGAAACTAAAATCAGCTGTCCAACATACAGATGACAAAATTCTACTCATAGCACATATGTCAACTTTTTTAATGCAGCATTTAAAATGAATTGCTTTCTAATGCTCCTTTAGGAACTGATCTATGTGTGTGTATAATCCCCTCAAGTTTTCACGTGTATCATCGTTGACCAGAAGATGCTAATTATTTGAAAAATACAAACAAACAAGAAGCTGAAAGAAATGAAATAGAAGGGACTTTTAGAACTTTTGTATTCAACTCTCTCTTGCTGCAAGGAGGAATAACACAAGCTAGTCTAGTCTCCACGCAAGTAAAATCAAATTCTAAGATAAATTGGCAATGCAAAAATAAAATATTAGAATTAGTAAATGCAAATATGTTCTAAAATTATCAAAATTAATGGCAGATGTAAATACTTCAAACAATTTTGTAATAAAAAAAAACCGTCATATGCTTCCTATCCATCATACAAAAAGCAAAGATTTTAGCTCATTGGTACAACAAGAAAAGACAATAAATAGGCAGTGGTTATGAAACTGTAATTGATATTAGGATAAAGATTCTTGTACATAATTTTTGGTACATAAGGGCATTCATCCTCTCACATGACATGAGGTCCACTCGAATATTTTATTCGAGTGGGCCCCACCCATGTAAGAGAGTGGACACCCTTATGTACCAATAATTATGTACCCATAACATTTTTCTTGATATTAATGTTTGACTTTAACTGGATATAAAAAAAAATGGAGCTTATAAGCTACTTTTTAGGAACCCTAAACCAAGGCTATATTTGTTGAAATACAGTGCAGTAATTTATTAAATCGGAAATTGACGACTAATAACTACATCTCATAATAAGGAGTTTCTCATCAATCAGTCACAAAATTCAAGGAAAATAAAGGACAAAAATATCAAACTTGAATCTACACAAGACATAGTAGTCATCCAAACTTAGTGTTCCATATGTTGTCCTTAGTGCTTTGACTAAATTTAGTCTCGTCAAAACTAGGCGAGAGCCCATAAGTCTACTTTTTCTGTCAATCAAAATGAACAAATTCAATTCATCTAATATACATTGTCATCAAAGAGAAAATACAAATCGTCCATGAAGACAAGCCAGATTAGAGAAAATATAACATTCAGAACAACCGTGCACGAAATGGTACAATAATTAGTATACCAGGTACCTCACTATGAAGAAAACTAGCAAAGGGATCCATCCAGGAATATAGGCAAACTGAAATATACTGACAGCTGCAAAAAGAAATACAAAAAAGTGCTACTGATCATCCACAACAGATTCTCAGTACCTTCAAACACCCTTCAGCTTCTCTCCTTCTGTAACGACGACATCAAGAAATGACCTGCCCCTCTCAACATTCTTTCATCACCCTTGAATAAACCTTCAATCCAATTGCTTACAAAAAATAGGTGGCATAATCCAACCAGGCCGAATTAAAGTCTCCGAAGTTCTAAACCAATTGTGCAGTGCAACAAAATATGACCCACATTCTCTCCAGTCTTTCACATCAAAAAGTCACTGTGTAATTAAATATTTATTCTTCCCGAGCAACATTCATAATGAAAAAGACAATTTTTTGAGTCTTGGTGCTCAATAACCTACCAAGCAAATTCTCATTACCCAGTGACAGGAACATAAATAGAGACATGACTGCTAATTTTCTATCTGTGGCTGTTCTAGAGACCTTCTTATCCTCCCAGTTCGTCTGAAACGAAATTTATCAACCATATAGTCTTCATCTGTGAGGTTGACATTTTTAGTGCTCTGCTCTTTCCAGGCATTCCATGCAGCACATCTTGCACAATGAAATCATATCAGTAACCCAAGCAAAATTACTCGAAGAAATAATGTACACATAAAACTAATCTAAAATTACCAATCCAAAATCCAGAAAGTTCTGCCAATTGTTCCACAGATTCATTATTCCTCTCCACAAGCCATTACAACATGGTTGGCTGCCAGGGTGGTGTGAAAACCAACAACCTGATTTACAACCATATTTCTCTACAAATGTTGCAGACAGAAGCAAATATAGAGTTCAGGCCAATCTCATTAGCTTGACCAAAAGGCAATAGCAGAAGCTGAT